TGGAGGAAGTATATAGCCAAACCTCAGTGAATTTCTGGTAAGTGGCATAGGTTCTGATCCAGCAGAGTCTTTACCTGAATTTTCCTACCTGTTTTTTGGCGGATGTGGCCTGCATTTGAGCAGAGGCTATGCATCTGATATAGGTGTGGTTACATAGTTTGGGAGTAGCAGCTGTAGAGTTGCTGGAGGATTGTGTCTATGGGAATGCAGGGAGTGTGAAAATTTTATAGGCTTTTGGTCTGCCTATTTGTTCTTCTGACTGGTGTGACATACACATGAGTCTGCCTAAGTTGGGAGGTATAACACAGTCATATTCCTATTTTTATGAATGGGAATATGTCCTGTGCCATTATATGTTGTAAATATTTATTAATTTTTTATTTACAACATGTGACAGTCAAGAGACTGTCTTAAGTGTCAGAAGAGACTTTGGACATTTGTGATGTTTGGGGTGCTACAGATTATGAGGATCATTGAACTTAGACTAAATGCAGTTTTATTTTATTTGTATTTATTCTTCTTTCATACTATATATCCTGATTGAATTCTCCTTTTCCTCTACTCATTCCAGTTCCTCCCCCACCAAATCCCCATTCTCCCAGTTCCACTGCTTCCTTTTCCCTTGAAAAAAAAAGGTGCAGAAGTGCAGACCTCCTGAACTAGGCAGGAACTCTTCTTTCAAGGCTAGACAACATAATGCAATAGAAGTAAAAGGGTCCTAAGAACAGACAAAAAAGTCAGAGACACCATGACTCCTACAGTTAGGAGATTCACTATCATCCCAAAGTAAACAACCATAGCATGTATGCAGCCATGAAAACTCTTGAATTGCTATATCAGCTTCTTTGAGCCACTATATGTCCTACTTGATTGTGTGGGCTATGTTCTCTTTATTTCCTCAACCACTGAATGCTCCAATACTCACACCCTCCTTCTACAAGATTCCTAGAACTCAAGCTAATATTTGGTTAGGGATCTCTTCATGGGCTTCTATCAGACCCTGGAAGAAGCCTCTTTAATAACAAGTAGGCCAAGTACCAACCTATGATTATAGCAGGAAATAGTTAAGAATCATTTTATTGATATTTTTTTCTGGTCAGCTGTATTTGGTCTACCCTTGTTCTCTGAACCATTTGAGCTCTAGTTCCTTACCATCTAGGCAGTGTCAGTTATGGGCTTCCTCTCACAGCATGGGCTTCAAGTTAGACCAGTCATTTATTGGCCACTAAGGAAGCTCTGAGTCATCAGTGCCCCAGCATATCTTGCAGGTCATACAAGTGTGGGTTGAATGGTTTTGTAGTTGACTTGGTGTCCCAGTCCCACTGGGAGCTTTATGTGGTTACAGAAGATGGCTAGTTCAGCCTTTATACTCTTGATTACTGGGAGTACTCACTAGGGTCTTCTATTTTCATCATCCTCTCAAAATAGACTGGTGCCACCAGGAGCAGATGTGTTTCATTGTCATGAAAAGTCTTAATGTCTTAAAACATTTTAGATGCCATATTCTGAAAGTCTCTGAAAGATTTGAAGAATCCCTATTTGAAATACATCTCTGTACATCTAGAAAACCTAACTAACATTAGTATAAACTTGAGTATTGCTATCATAGATGACTCTCTACCTCTTTGGTAATTATATATTACATGTTTAAATGAGGTGCACACATACAATACCTTAATCAAGTGCAGAAATACACATAATACAATTGACCTTAAATTTATATCAATAAATCAAGATCCATACCATTGCAGATTTCTATAGCATATCCCCCTTTAAATGTAAAGAAACATTTATGAATTGTATTTGGGAATATGGGTATAGTTCTCTCCAAACTGCTTCCTGCTTTTAATTTTGTGAAGTAATTTTTGGGGGATTCATGCAACCTTTTGTTTGGTCTTCATCAAGCCACATTAGTCTGGAATGATTCCACAGGTTCTCATCTTCTGTGGTAACAAAAACAAAACCTCTTTTTCCAAAGCAACAAATTCTTAGACCCAAATTCTGAAGACATGCTACCTTTAAAGTATATGTGTTGGTTATTTAACTCCTTTACAGTCAAAAAATTCAAAGAAAACACAATAAAATACATAATCCAGAACCTCTGTATATAGTCCATTTTTATGTGGCTTATTTGTTTTTATTCTATTACTTTTTACTACTTATTTTATTATCTTTTTACTCCTTTATGATTGTCTGTACTATGTATTTTTAAAGTCTTCATTTGATTGTTTATAAACCATTTACTTCTTTTTATAACTCTCTATTATTTTTACTCTTTCTCCCAGGCCTATGTACATTTTTTAAACACACTGTTTTTCATTTAGAGGTCTTTTATGTATGAATTTGTATTATTGTGCAGCTGTAATTCTTTCCTGTTCTGGAGTGCTTCTTAAAATGCTAAACACTTCTTATGAACTTAAGCTGTGCCTGCTTGCTCAACACAGACCAACACGGCAGAGGCACATTTGCTGCCTCTGAGAACCATGTACATTACCCAATTTTCAGGCATACATGGGATCTAAGTTGCCATTAACAATCTTCTCACAGACCCCATAGCTGGTCCTCCAGAAGGAGTCAGAGTTGGCCCTGACAGCATAGCCCAGAAAGCCAGCATTTCAAAATGGTGGAACATTTTTTTATGCTACCTCTAAATCAGGAAAACCTCTCTTAAAGGTGCTGTAGCATGTCACCAGTAAGCAAATCCTATTTGGGGAAATAAATGTGACTAAACTTCCTTTTTTTTACTGTCTAGAATTCCTTTCCAAGCTCTCTAAGATTTTAAGGGAACTTTAGTTGGCCACATGGGCACCAGTTTGTTATGGGAAGCCACTCGTTAGTTCCCAGCTTCTCAGCCTGAAAATAACCACACAGAAACTGTATTAATAAATCACTGCTTAGCCCATTAGCTCTAGCTTCTTATTGGTTGACACTTATTAATTTAATCAATTTCTGTTAATTTGTTTTTTTTTATTTTTTTATTTTTTATTTTTTTATTTTTTTATTTTTTTTTAGAGACGGGGTCTCGCTATGTTGCCCAGGCTGGAGTGCAGTGGCTATTCACAGGCGCCATCCCACTACTGATCAGCACGGGAGTTTTGACCTGCTCCGTTTCTGACCTGGGCCGGTTCACCCCTCCATAGGCAACCTGGTGGTCCCCCGCTACAGGGAGGTCACCATATTGATGCCGAACTTAGTGCGGACACCCAATCAACATAGCGCACTACAGCCCAGAACTCCTGGACTCAAGCGATCCTCCTGTCTCAGCCTCCGAGTAGCTGGGACTACAGGCGTGCACCACCACACCCGGCATTTCTGTTAATTTGTGTATTGCTATGTGACTGTGACTTATGAGGTAAAGTTCTCAGCATCTGTCTCAGGTAGGGCTCCATGACTTCTCTCTGACTCCACTTTCATCCTCCCAGCATTCAGTTTAGTTTTCCCAACCCACCTTAGATTTGTCCTAAAGCTCTGTTATAGTCCCAAAGCAGTTTCTTTATTAAACAATGATAATCACAACATCCAGAAGGGAATCCCACAATATGTGTTTCTATAGCCTCAACCCATTTCCTGTTCTTTGTGCCTACTGTCTTGGGGTTGAAACTAATCCGTCAGCTTTCTTTTGCTGTCATAACTTCCCTACCATCATAAACTCTATCACTAAATCACACATGATTCAGTAGAATTAGCTGCTATTTGGGCCTAAGGTGGTTTGGTAGCCTACTGTTTATATTTTTGTTTGTTCATTTTTGATGACAAAGTTTGTGGGTGTAGCCCTAGCTCTCCTGAAAGTAGTGCTATATACCAGGTTGGCTTCAAACTCAGAGAACCTCTGACTCTGACTCCCAAGTGCTGGGATTAAAGGTGGGCCAGCATTCCTGACTTTTTTGTTTTTATATTGTTGTATGATGGTTTTGTTTTTATCAAGCATATGCTGTTGTAGTGAACTTCACCCATATCTTATATTTTATATTTTACAGAGTGTATCATTATTTTTCCCAGGATGGCAATGTATTCATGACATTAATACTGCCTGTGTCTTTTGAGTCATTGGATTGCAGGTGCATAACCTTCTTTCTGCCTGTTTTGTTTGTTTTTAATTTGTATTTTAAAAGGAGTATTTAACCTGTATGCGTGGATATGCACCATGTGAGTACCTGGTCCTTACATTGATCAAAAAAAAATGATACTAGAAACCTTGACCTTGAAATAATGGATAGATATGATCCTTCATGGAAGTCCTTGAGTCCACAAGCAAGCAACACCAGGAGGACTCTTTACTGTTGATCCATCTTTCTTGCTCTGTGTTCATTATTTGTAATCAGCATATTAATTGTTATTATTTTCAATTGTCCATTTGTAACTTTTTAAACACACAGTGCCTTTTAGTAAAATCTTATTTATGTTTCAGTTTAAATTGGGATGCTTCAGATTTCTGGTTGATGAATAAAGAGTTGAAATGAATGCATAACTTTTGTAGAAACTTCAGCAATAGACTATGAGTTATTTCTAAATTTTATGTTTGATTGATTTTTATCATGTGAAAGAGGTATTTAACATGTATTTCTGGCTGCCATAGAAGTGATTGTGTGGACTAGGCTTGTATTCAACTCAGTGACAGATAGACATACATGCCTCTGCCTTCTGAATCCTTGGATTAGAGGACTCAATGCATCCAGCTTTTTCATCATATTTTTCTTTTTTGTAGTTAGAAATTAATCATACATATAATCTCTCTTATCTGTACTCTGTACTGTTGATCTGTTTATATATCTTTCATTGTTGGTTAATAGGCCTTTCTCTTGCAAAATGATATCCCATTCAACGGGTTCATAAATGACAATGGTGAACTTCGTATTCAGATTGCTTCTAAAGTGACGATGTCTATGTCATTGAATAAGTATGGGGAGCACCAGAATTCTATGACTATACTGTCAAAGAAGTATATATTTACAGTGTTGTCAAAATCATACTTTCTGTTGTACACATGTATGGAATTTTAGAACGCAGTGACCTATGATGATGTGCATGTCAACTTCACTTGGAAAGAATGGACTTTGCTGAATCCTTCCCAGAAGAATCTCTACAAAGATGTGATGGTGGAGACCTACAGAAACCTCACTGCTATAGGTAAAACTGAATTATCTTTTATGTTTCAAATAAGGGGACAACTGTTCATTGGTTAATGATTCTCTTTTGTAATTTGATTGAGAAAGAAGAATGGGAAAAGAAATTTGACATGCTTTTAAGTTTTGCTTCAAATGGTAACTAAATGTTTTACAATTTTTAATATATAACATACATTTTTCTGTCACTATATTTTAGGATATAATTGGGAAGATCATAATATTGAAAAACATTGTCAAAGTTCTAGAAGACATAAAAGGTAATTTCCATGCATAAGCTGATACACATATACCCCTGAAGAATTTGTAACGTATCCTATATGTTTTAAATCAAAACAACAATGTACATAATAAAGTGCATTGGTGCTTATTAAACTATCACAAAGTCATATACCTAAATTTCAGATAGGTGAATTACATTTGCAAGTCATTCTTTTAAGAAAGAAGGCAAGAAAACAATAACTTAACCTATATTTTCATTTGATTCACAATACAATGAGCTATACTGTAAAATTGTCAATGCACTTATTTCATATTATTCATATTATAAAAGATATACATTTTGAAAAGGTTATAAGTATATCTCTGAAACTCTCTATTACACTAATAGTCCATAGAAAAGGTAGTTTAACCCATATACTTGTGACTGTGTTAAGTTTAGTGAGGGGGCAGTTAGAGTCACAAATCAAGGGTCAGCTGTTGTAGAGAGGCCTTAATCCAGACACCACAAGTCTATTAGGACAGAAAGTCAAACTGTGAACTCAATGGGGAAGTCTTATATTTGTTATTCTTCCTTTACTAAGTATATCATATGTTCCTCTGGATACAAGCCACATGTGAATAGGGATTTGAAAAACAATCCTCTCTCAGAACAAATAGAAGATATTTAACAGTCTCCATGTTGAGTATACTTGTTGAATTTGATGTTCAAGTTTACAAGTGATTGGTTTTCTAGTCTCATTCTTAATATATCAACAAGCTCACATTTCAGAAAAGCATCATGAGTACTAGGACTGTGTAAAAACTTCTGTTTGTCCTAGTTCACTTAACAAATGTAGTATCACTCACAGTGTAGGAAACGTTATGAATGCAATAAGGATAAAGTTTTGAGTTTTTTAAGTTCTCTTCAAATACATGAAAATTCTCATACAGAAAAAAAAGATTCTGTAAATGTGAACCATGTAATAAAGTCTGTTTTCAGTTATCCTCAAAGATGAAAAGCATGCCTTAATGAAGGGGAAAAACAAGATTGTAAACATGGTGATAAAACCTTAACATATAGTTCTTCTTTAAAATAGTACTAAATTGTAAAATTAATTTATGCAGATAAAAATATTCAACAATGTATTAAATGTAGTTATTCTTTCACATGTACCATTATCATTGTAGGCATGAAAAAAGTCAAATTAGAGAGAAAACTTCTGTATATACTCAATGTGTTAAAGCCTTTGCATGTCATCTTCACAGGCATGAAAAAACATATACTAGATTAAAACCCTGTGAAGAAAATGAGTGTGGTAAAGCCTTTTTACATCACAGTCATCTTCAAATGCATAATAGATCATGCACTGGAGAGAAACCCTATGAATGTAATCAATGTTGTAAAATCTTTGCATGTCAGCGTACTCTTCAAATGCATAAAAGAACACATACTGGAAAGAAGCTGTATGAATGTAATCAGTGTGGTAAAACCTTTGCATGTCCCAGTTATCTCCAAAGGCATAAAAGAACCCATACTGGAGAGAAACCCTATGAATGTACTCAGTGTGGTAAAGCCTTTGCACAACACTTTCATCTTCAAAGTCATGAAAGAACGCATACTGGAGAGAAACCCTATGAATGTAATCAGTGTGGTAAAGCCTTTGCATTTCCAAGTAGTTTCCAAAAACATAAAAGAACTCATACTGGAGAGAAGCCCTATAAATGTAATCAGTGTGGTAAAGCTTTCGCACAGCATGATGGTCTTCAAATTCATGAAAGAACCCATACTGGCGAGAAACCCTATGAATGTAATCAGTGTGGTAAAGCCTTTTCATGTCCAAGTACTCTCCGAAAGCATAAAAGAATCCATCCTGGAGAGAAACCCTATAAATGTAATCAGTGTGGTAAAGCCTTTGCACAGCACTTTCAACTACAAAGTCATGAAAGAACGCATACTGGAGTGACACCCTATGAATGTAATCAGTGTGGTAAAGCCTTTGTGTGGCACAGTTATCTCCGAATTCACGAAAGAATGCACACTGGAGAGAAACCCTATGAATGTAATCAGTGTGGTAAAGCCTTTGCATATCCCAGTAGTTTCCAAAACCATAAAAGAACCCATACTGGAGAGAAACCCTATGAATGTAATCAGTGTGGTAAAGCTTTCGCACAGCATGGTGTTCTTCAGATTCATGAAAGAAGCCATACTGGAGAGAAACCCTATGAATGTAATCAGTGTGATAAAGCCTTTTCATGTCCAAGTACTCTCCGAAAGCATAAAAGAATCCATACTGGAGAGAAACCCTTTGAATGTAATCAGTGTGGTAAAGCCTTTGCACAGCACTTTCATTTACACAGACATGAAAGAACGCATAGTGGAGAGAAAAATCTATGAATGTAATCAGTGTGGTAAAGCCTTTTTATGGTCCAGTACTCTCCAAAAGCATAAAAGAACCCATACTGGAGATACACCCTATCAATGTAATCAGTGTGGTAAAGGCTTTGCACAGCACATTCATCTTCAACATCATGAAAGAACCCACACTTGAGAGAAACCCTATGAATATATTCAGAGTGGTAAAGCCTTTGTGTGTCACAGTTATCCCCAGAGGCATGAAAGAAGCCATACTGGAGAGACATCTTATGAATGTAATCGGTGTGGTGAATCCTTTTTACAACACATGTATCTACAAAGTCGTGAAATTAGCCGTGCTGGAGAGAAACCCTATGAATGTAATCAGTGTGGTAAAGCCTTTGAGTGTCACAGTTATCTCCAGATGCATGAAAGAAGCCATACTGGAGAGAACCCTAAGAATGTAAGCAGTGTGGTGAATCCCTTTTACAGCACATTCATCTACAAAGTCATAAAATTAGCCATGCTGGAGAGAAAAGCCTATGAATGTAATCAGTGTTGTAAAGCCTTTGTATGTCACAGTAGTCTCCAAGCACATGAAAGAACTCATACTGGAGAGAAACCCTGTGAATATAATCAATGTTGCTAAGCATTTACATGTTTAGTGATCTCTGAAAACATGATAGAACCCCTACTGGAGAGAAACATTATGTATGTAATTAGTGTGATAAAGGCTTTGTTTATTATAGTCATCTTTAAAGGCATGAACTAACATATGCTGGAGATAAACTCTATGAATATAATGAGTGTGGTTAAGCCTTTGCACTTCACAGTACTCTAAAAATGCATAAAAAATAACACAGTGGAGATAAACTCTCTAAATGTAATTAGTGTGGTAAGGCATTTGCATGTATGAATAATCTAAATCATGAGAAATATCATATGGCATAGAAACCCTGTAAGTGGTTTATTGTGATAAAGTTTTGTACTTTATATAGTAGTAAAACTTTTTGTGTGCAACAATCTCTTAAAATCGTTGTATATTTCAATAGACATTGACTACCTGAAAAAGATTCTGAGGACTTCTTATTATAAAGTATTTGATAAGATCTTTAGTCAAAACACTTATAATCAGCTACATAATGATTTGGGTTTCCCTTCTGTATGTTGTGAATGTATTTTGTTACCATTGTTTAATAAAGAAGCTGCTTTGATCCTATGACAGGGCAAAATAGAGCAAGGCAGGAATTCCAAGCAGAGGTAGAGGAGAAAAGAAAGTGTAGTCAGACTCCATGTATCTGTTGAAGGAGACAGATGCCCTGGAACCTTACTGGTAAATCACAGGTCTTGTGATAAAATACAAAATAATAGGAATGGGGTTAATTAAGATGTCAGTGTTAGTTAACAAGAATCCTGAACCAATAGGCCAAGCAGTGTTAATTAGTATAGTTTCTTTGTGACTATTTTGGGTCTGGGCTTCCAGGAATGAACAAGAGTCTTCTGCCCATAACACAAGAGTGTTTCTTCTGTAGAAATGAATTTGACTGTGTTAACCATCTTCAAGCATTATGATGTCCTTTTTACTGTTTGTACTTACAATCATGGTAAAATGAATTTATGGAGCCCTATGTGTAGGGTAAATGGTCCAGCTAAAGAAATACATCCTGACCCTGAATCCAGAGCCATTGAACTATATAATTTTGACTCTGAAGCTGGAGCCAAAGAAATACATCGTGACTCTAAAACCAAGACAAAGAGACACAGTTTGTTCCTGAATTCAGAGCCAATGAAAGAAACACCTGACTCTGAAACCAGACTCTAAAGTTTATAAGAGGCCAGTGAAAGAACACACTTTGGCCCGGAAACAAGTGCCAAAAAAACACTCTACCCTAGACCACCTGAGCATAAAACCAGCTAATCCTTAAGCTCCAGATCTACCAATACCTGAGCATGAAATCCAGCCAGTCTCTGAGTTGTTCAAGATCAGGGATTGACATCTTAACAATTCCCACCCTGAGAATCTTCTCCCTGGAAAATCTCTGCCCCTAAGAAGGCCTATATAAGTTCTGTACATGTTCAGTTGGCATCTGCCCATTTCTGCCCTGGCAGAGGCAGCCCTTCTCCTGGATTCTTCCTTTCCGAATAAATTTCTTGAATTAGTTTTGGGTGAAGACCTTTGACTAGAGTGATCAGAAGCTTTGTAGTGTATTTGAACAGAGAAGCTTTGGTCGCCTCTGCTGGCAAACTCCCTTAAAGGAGCAGAGCAGAAGTAGCCACTCTTCACCAGAGACTGCAACATTTCTGCAACAGTTTCCCATCAACTCCAATGAAGCAGAGAAGTAACAAATTGGGTTGAAGCTGAGAAAGAAATTGACATCTCTTTTAAGAAACTCCCTAGTCAGGTGAACAGAGAAACATTGGACAACTCTGCTAGGAAACTCCTTTAGGGAAATGGAGCAGGACAGCAATGGATGTCTCTGCTTTGAAACTCTCTTAGAGTGAAGCAGGGCACAGCTGTGGTGGCTCTATTTTGTTGGGGAGCAATATTGCTACACTCTTTAGGGGACCATCTCCCACTGGAACACAGCTTCGTGTATAGCCAGACTTCCCAGTAGTCAGCATATGTCAGAGACCATCTTTGACAAGTATACCACTTACCCGGGTAGGGTCATGGGGATTAGAGCATAAATAAAGAGAATGAAGACACAAATGAAAATAATAAAGCAAGCATAGAATAGTACCAGGAGGGAGTTCCCATGTGCCACGGACCGCCTCTCGTGGAGGCACTCACACCAAGGGAAAACAGGGCGAAGGCTCAGGAGAGTTTAGGTATTGGCGAGGATTGACAGACAGACACACTCAATGTAGTTGAATATGCTGCTGTAACTTTACTTTAATTAGTGTAAGGATTTTATACTTTTACAATCAAGGAACTTGGCAAAGGCATATGTCATCAGATCATAAAATAGAAACAAAGAAAAGGAATAACACTGTCATTTAACAAGAATAGCAAATTTATGTGTCCATTGTCTATTCTAAACGTTAGTTGTGGTTGTTGCTCAAAGACATGATCTCACACTTTTCTGAGACTTGTTTCACACCATTGATCTCAACTCTTTCTGATTCCCAGGCTCAGATGTTGTTAACAGCCTAGGCCTTTTCTGCCCACAGGAAAGGCCTTATAGGCCTTCTGTGTATGGGAATGGATCAAGGTAATTACCAGACTTTGGGGTCAGCATGGGGGTGTCCACCATCTGCTTTCTATTTGCAACTGTGTGCATCTTCCCAGGCAGATGCCTAGTGGGGACTGCTGTAACTGTTTCTCTGCAGAAGGCTTCTAAGGTTTCTCCCAGTAAGACTAACTCCTTTTGCTCCACATCATTAAGGAATTATCCTATTGATGACCCCCAATTCCCAGAACTGGCTACTTCTTTAAAAGGCTTTAGTGAATGGTGGGGCAGAGCTCAAAATGTCCTCAGCAGTCTTGTTTGTATCCACAACTGCCTGGAATAGTCTGATCTGTTAGCAATATGCAAGAATAAAGACAAAGAAAAGACAGTCATATCGGCACCAAGGACAGCAAGGTCAAGTCAGTGCAGGTAGCAACTTCAGGTGGCATCATGACCACAGCTGATTGCCAAGGGACTGCCTGGAACACAACTCCGTGAAGTGCAGATTTCAATCCTACGGCAGCAGTCCATCCAGTCAGCATTTCTGCTACACTGGTGTGACAACCGTGGATGTAGCACCCATGAATACTGTAAATCTGCCTGCATTTAATTTTTCATATAGTTTTTTCTAAAGATTTATTTTGCGTTTATACAGTATTCTGCCTATGTGCATTCCTGCAGCCCAGAAAAAGGCATCAGATCTCATTACAGATGGTTGTAAGCCAACATGTTGTTGCTGGGAATTGAACTCAGGATCTTTAGAATGCAGGCAGTGCTCTTTATCACTTAGCCATCTCTGCAGAACAATTTTTTATGTACTTTTATGCCCCAATACAACAGGGGGAAGAAGACAAAAGACTGCTTTAACATAATGCAAAAGAAAACTAGAACAGTTACTTCCGTCAATACTTTGAGCCATCAAGTACTTAATTATTGAGAAAAACATTCTGTTATTCAGGGAGTGAACCCTCCCTAGACCAAGTATCCTAAAGGCAATCATTCCCTAGGCCAAACTCTTAATTCAAAAGAAGTAGCAGAAGTATGCTTGGATTCTTTCACCGTTGCTCAAGGGGGAGTGGATTTACCTGTCTAGGCTCTCTTAAAGTCCAAAACACAAAACAACCACACCTTAGGTCAAGTCACACCTGTTAACAATTTTGTGCAACCTCAAACTCTGATCTTCAGATAAGGTGGAAAGAGGCTCATGGTTTTGGGCCTCCACAAGGATAACTTTTCTCATAGTTGTAGGTATCTAGTACACTTTCCCTTTACAACTGTAGGTATGGCCTGACTTCTAACAGTCAGAGTACCTTTCTCTTCAGAGCCCTAGGTATCAGGCTACCTTTCCTTCACAGCTTTGCTTCGGTTATAGCCAGACTTCTCAATGGTCAGGATTTTTTTCTCTTTATAGCTAAAGGTATCTAGTATACTTTCACAGCTGTAGGTATATCCTGACATGACAGTGAGGGTACTTTTCTCTTCAGAGCCTTTTCTCCATAGTTTCAGGGATAGTCTGACTTAATAACAGGGTAACTTTCCTATCAGCTGTAGATATCCAGGATTGTAGTTGGAGACTGCTCAGGCAGTTTCTGTAGCCATCTAGACCCAAACAGTCCCACAGAAAATATATTAAATACAACACTGTTTGGCCTGTTAGCTCAAGAATCTATGAACTAATTCTTAGATCTCAAATTAACCAATTTCTGTTCATCTCAACACAAGGTTGGCGGCTTACCAGTAAGGATCTGTTCTGGCATCTTTCTGCTTCAACAACTATATTGCATCTCTTTTTCTCCACCTACTCTCTATATATCTCATGCAGCCTGACTATATTCTGCCCTGCTGTAGGCCCAAGCAACTAGCAACTTCTTTATTAACCAATGACAATGTTCACAGCATACAGAGGATAACTTCCCTTCACAACTGTAGGTATAACCTGACTTCTGACAATCAGTGTTGTACAGAGGTCGCTTGTTTGGTTCCCAGCTACCCAGCTAGTTTAGATCTGAAATAACCACACAAATACTGTATTAATTAAATCACTGCTTGGCCCATTAGCTCTGACTTCTTATTGACTCACTCTTACATATCAATTTAAACCATTTCTATTAATCTGTGTATGGCCACATGGCTGTGACTTTCTGGGTAAAAATCCCAGCATGTATCTCTGGCTGCTCCATGTCATCTCTCTTCTTCTGCTGTTCTTCCTCCTAGCATTCAGTTCAGTTTTCCCTGCCTACTTAAGTTCTGCCATATCAACAGGGCAAGGCAGTTTTTTATTCATTAATAGTAATCAAAACACAAAAAAGGGAATCCCACATCAAATCAGGATATCTTTATCCCACAGCAGTAGATATCCAGACTACCTTCCTTTCTTAGTTGTGTTTATAGCCTGACTTCTGACAGTCAGAATCACTTTCCCTCTAGAGCTATAAAACATGCACTATGCATTTAAACAATAATGTAACCCCTTTTTATTTTTTCTCTTCAATTAAATGGAATCACTGTTTCAGGTGTAAAACTTTATTGCTTCATATTAGTTCATTATCTGTTGTGATATAATGTCTATCTATAAAAATTATAAACTTATAAAAATTAATTTGGCCTTTGGTTCCAGAATAATACAGAATTGTCATGAAAGTGAGTGACACCACAACTGGACAGTGGTGGTGCATACTTCTAATCCCCTACTCAGGAGGCAGAGGCAGATGTGTCTCACCAGCGTTTTGTACAAGAACTAGTTCTAGGACAGACTTCAAAGCTACAGGGAAACCCTTTCTCAAAAAAGAAAGATTTATGACTACAAGTGTCTAACATGACAGCCAAAACGGAAAGCTATGAACTCAAATCCTTATCCTACAGCATGAAGCAGAGAGTGTAAACTAGAAAAGCCTACTCCTGGTGACTTATTTCCTCCAGCAGGGCAGCATTTCATAAGTCTTACCAAATGATTCCATTAATGTAGAAGACTTGATTTCTTAGACTTCAAGCCTACCTGATTGCTTCATAATGAAGAAAAACTCTGTAAGCCATTAGGTGATGTAACACCTGTAGTATAGGAATGAATTCTTACAAAAGAAAAACTTTCATGAGTGAAAATGTTTAAAGAGTTGTTTTAGTTGTGATTATAATATCAATGTGTTTTTTGTGTGGGTATGTGAATGTGCATGCTGGTTTCTGATAATATTAGATCCTAGGATTTTATAGTAGAAATTACAGGATGTTGTCAAAAATCAGACCTTGGTCCTGGAAGTGAATATTTCTTTACTGCCCAGATATGTTTCTAGTGCTCCAAATATTTTTTTAAATATACTTATTTATTTATAAAAATTTCCACTTCTTCCCCTCCTCCCCATATCCTCCCATTTCCCCCACTCCCTCTCCTCCTCCCTCTCCAGGCCTAAGAGTAGTCAGGCTTTCCTGCCCTGTGGCAAGTTCAAGTTCCTCCTTCCTCCCTCCAGGTCTAGGAAGGTGAGCATCCAAACAGACCAGGATCCCTGAAAGCAAGTACATGCAGACGAAACAAGACCCAGTGCCATTGTCAATGGCTTCTCAGTCAGCCCCCATGTCAGCCACATTCAGAGAATCCAGTTTGATCACATTCAGTCCCAGTCCAGCTGACCTTGGTGATCTCTCATTAGATCAGTCCCATTGTATCAGTGGGTGAACGCACCCCTCTCGGTCCCGACTTGCTTTTTCATGTTCTCGCTCCTTCTACTCCTCATTTGGACCTTGGAGGCTCAGTCCAGTGCTCCAATGTGGGTCTCCGTCTCTATCTCCATCCATCATTGGATGAAGGTTCCCTCTGGTCCTGCCTTCCTTGTTCACGTTCTACCTCCTTCTGCTTCTCCTTTGGACCTAGGGAGTTAAGTCCAGTGTTCCAATATATGTCTCTGTCTCTTATCTCCATCCATCGCCAGATGAAGGTTCTATGGTGATATGCAAAATATTCATCAGTATGGTTATGGGCCAAGGCCAGTTCAGGC